TACGGTAAATATGTTTTACTATTGGAATGACGGATATACCCTTAGTTTCGAGTGAAAATCCATCGTAGAGCTTCGCTATAGTGGGGGTGTTTATGTCATTTACACACCTGTGGTCAACCCCCACTATGACGATTATTGCGTCTCTCTAGCTAATTCAACTTCAAAGTTTTCAAACCAATTAATTCACCGGAAATCCATTTTCTACCTTTTATTCAGTGGGTTAAGTCTTAAATGTAAACCAAATTAAATCTTTTGCAATTATTAGCTACAGACTCTTAGAATGTCATTAACTTTCGTGAAAAAGTTTCAAGGTTTTGTCAAAAAGTTGGGATCTATTTTGGGAAGTATTAATTGGTATGTTTACAAAATTCAAAAGTTAAATTTACCCTACTTGTGGTTGTAGTTTTTTAAAAATGCATAGGAAAAAAAAATTCCTTATATATATATAGGTAACGTGGAGCAACGTCCCTTAATGGGTACGTAAAGTAGTGCGATGAGGATATAAATTTGAATTGCTAAAAATAGTTGTGATCCAGCGCCAGAAATAGTAAGAGACAAAAAATGTTACCAAAAGTGTGTTAAATGAGTTGTAACAGGACGAAGATAGCGATGAGACAGAGAGCTTAGAGAAAGTGAGAGCACAAGGAGAAGAAGATAAAGAAGAGGAAGACAAGGAACAATGTAGCCCCGTCTCTGTACTTGACCCTCTCGAGGAGGAGGAGGACGACGAGGACCACCACCAACACGAGCCTGATCATCCCAATATCCTCTCTTGCAGCTTTGAAATTGTACAACGTGAGTATCCAATCTTCCATCACATCAAATGGGCCAAAGGAATTGAATACAAACTGGTCCTGAGATCGTTTCAAGGGTTTTTAAATGTTGTGTGTTTTGACTAAGCAGGGGCGAAAAGGCGGTTACTCAAGAAGCTTCGTAGATTCGAGAAGTTAGCGGGGCTGGATCCTATAGAGCTCGAAGGGAAGATGTCGGAAGAAGAAGATGAAGAAGAAGAAGAGTATGAGGAGAGTGAGGAAGACGATAACATAAGGATTTACGATTCAGATGAAGAATATGAGGACGTGGATGAAGCGATGGCACGAGACAGGGGATGCGCGGAAGAGGAGAAGAGGAAGAAGAATGATGAGAGGCAGAAGAAGTGGAGGATGATGAATGCATGGAGGGTAGGGTTGGGAGCAGAGGAGGACGTGGACGCGGTGGTGCGGAAAGATTTAAGAGAGGAGGCCGGAGAATGGACAAGACACGGTGGAGAAATGGAAGAGGCCGTGTCCGATCTCGAGCTCTCTATCTTCTTTGTCTTGATTGATGAATTTTCCCACGAACTTGTCTCTTCTTCTCTATGAACAAATAATGAATTTTGTTAGAGACAAGAAAAATTAGTAGATTTTTAGATGGGCCATCATTGACTTGATAAACCAGATTAAACCTCTATATATAACATCTACCCTGTGTTTTCTTATCACTTAAAACGCTTGTAGAAAATGTCACAAGTCACAACGATAATCTTTTCTTACTTAACCATATCTTCCATTTCTTTTCTTACTTGAACATACCTTCTATTCGACAAATCTTCGTTTATTTTTTTTTTGACATCTTTTTATCGACAAGACCCGATCCATAGTCAATCCCTACTACGCGGGATAACGTGACTTAGTGGAGTCGAATTCCGGTGGAGAAAACGAAGTCAAGTGGACTTAACCACTTGATTAAAGGCACATCCCCCTTCGTTTCTCTTTATGGCAGTGAAAATATTGTTTTTAATTTTCTTTTTTAACATAACTGATTGTTCATTGTCTGGCATCTAAGTTTGAACTTTCAGCTTGATTATGTCGGTTTGAAATCAAAACCACGGAGTTATGCATGTTTGTGAAAGGGAAATTTTCTTTTGCTTAAAGCCTTAAACAACAATACGCTTTTGGTTATTTGATTTAGGTTTGGTTTATCTGGTTGATCATTCATTGTACCTAAACAAATTAGATCATGCCTGATTAAAAAACTCACATTGAAGGACTAGGAAACGTACCCACGTCTGAATTGCGTGTTTCTCACGAACTAATTAAATTTCATTTTGATATACGACTTTATTTTTAATTATTCATACGTATGATCGCAACATGTGACAACAATATCTCTACTACATAGTATTATCTTCTGTTTTTATATTACAACATATTTTTGCTTAAAATCATTGCCTAACATATGTTTTTTTTTTGGATTGGTTTGTTATACATGATATTACGTCAAAAGTAGTAATTTCATTTTATTGAAAATACTAACTAACAAAGGATTGATTGATTTGTGTTATTTCAAATGTAAAATTGGTAACAATTTGTTATATAAAAGAAATTCCCAAATTATATTCTTTGTGAATTATGATTTTAGGGTCGGGTTCGGACATGGTTGTCCCCTGACACTTACGTGATACCAACTGATACTTTCTAACATATAATCTATCTATCTTATAGATTATTCGCTTGAATATAATGTTTATTGGGGAATACTGTATCACTTTCTTATAAACTCTAAACATAGAACATTAAAAATCACTACTAGTTCTTCAAAGAAATTTCAGTGCGAGAACATGGATGGACCAAGTCATCAACATTCAACCATGACTATTAAATAAGTCTTCATTGAAAAATATACCAAATAATATCAAGCTTAGAATGAACCAGCTTCCACCAACGAAATAAATATACCAATCATAAAGACCAGTTTTGTCCCAAAACTACCCCTTATAACTTTTTTTTATAGATCCTTTTCATCAATTTCACAGCAATCAAAATGGTGGATGCGGCGGAGCAACCGCCTTCTGCCTCCGTATCCGACGAGGCAGAAAGCCTCCTCAAGATCCGCATTGAGAGGATGCATGAGAAGCTGAAGGAGCCACCGCGGTTGCTTAGCTCGGCTGCCGGAAAACCAACTTGCTCCATCTTCCGAGTACCTCAGAGCATGATTGATTGTAACGGTAGATGGTATGAGCCGCGAGTGGTCTCGGTTGGACCATTCCACCGTGGCCAAATACGCCTCGAAATGATTCAAGAACACAAATGGCGTTACCTAAACGTTCTTCTCACTAGAACCCAAAACCTAACTCTAGAGGATTACATGAAGAGCGTGAAGAGCGTTGAGGAAGAGGCGAGAGAGTGTTACTCCGAGACAATCCACATGGACTCGGAAGAGTTCAACGAGATGATGGTTCTTGACGGTTGCTTTCTTCTTGAGCTGTTTCGCAAAGTGAACAATCTTGTTCCTTTCGAACCAAACGATCCACTTGTAGCCATGGCTTGGGTTCTTCCTTTTTTCTACAGAGATTTTCTCTGTCTTGAGAATCAAATCCCTTTCTTCGTTCTTGAAACTCTGTTCGATCTCACAAGAGGAGATAACAAAAACGAGACCAACGCTTCTTTACCGTCTCTAGCGTTTGCGTTCTTCAACAACATGATGCACAGAACAGACGAAGATCTCGCCAGGTTCAAAGAGCTAAGAGCAAAACACCTCCTCGACCTCCTCCGGTCAAGTTTCATCCCGGAGAGTCAGCTTCACACGCCGCCGGAAACGAATCCAGGGAAGGAGAAGACGCCGTCCCACATCATCCACAGCATCTCGAAGCTCCGGCGAGCAGGGATCAAACTCCGGGAGCTAAAAGACGCAGAGAGCTTCTTAGTGGTGAGATTCAGACACGGAGCGATCGAGATGCCGGCGATCACCGTCGACGATTTCATGAGCAGTTTCTTAGAGAACTGCGTGGCCTATGAGCAGTGCCACGTGGCGTGCTCAATGCATTTCACGACATATGCAACGCTCCTAGATTGTCTGACGAACACTTACAAGGACGTTGAGTATCTATGCGACCAAAACATCATAGAAAACTATTTCGGAACAGATACAGAGCTTGCGAGATTCGTGAACAGTCTAGGCAGAGATGTGGCGTTCGACATAACACAGTGTTATCTCAAAGACTTGTTTGAAGAAGTGAATGAGTATTACAAGAGTAGTTGGCACGTGGAATGGGCTACTTTCAAATTCACTTACTTTAACTCTCCTTGGTCTTTTGTCTCTGCTCTTGCTGCTCTTGTTCTTTTGGTCTTGTCCGTTATCCAAACTGTTTACACTGTTTTCCAGGCTTATCAAAAATAAAATTCAACCTTTTCATTATATTGCGATTCAACAAATTTGTTGGTATGATTTGATGAAGTAAAAGCAATTAAAGAGAGTTCTTGTATTTAAACCATACTTCTATTATTAAGTACAATAATGTGTTTGTTGTGATTAGTTGTCCAAACATGCATCCATAGTGTTCGAGTAATAAATAAATGGTGTGGACTGTGGAGATGGATGATATAATATTTTTAATGAAAAATTCGGTTTACATTATCAAAGGATAACCCGAGATTGTATCAAGAGAGTTATAAAAATATTAATCACAACTTTAAAACAGTATACATACAACTACTCTAGAATTCAATAAATAAAAGCTTTCTAAAGGTTCAATTAATTATTAGCAAAAATACGTGATTGTTTCACAGGTTGACTGTAGGAATTGGTCAATTGAGTAGAAAAGTCAAAGATCCTCAATGTTGATTCTACGTGACAGCTCATGCTTCATTATCGAAGTGAATAGTAAAACCCTGAACTTTTGGTAGTTTCCTGTAACTAACATATAAACATTTGACATACTCCCTCCGTTTCATAAAGAGTGTCGTTTTAAGGTTTTATTTTTGTTTCACAAAGAGTATCGTTTTAGGTTTTTAATGCAAAATTTAATGATTTTTTATGTTTTATGACTATTAGTATTCTGCAGATTGTTTTACTATTGGGCAGATTATGTTTAGATATATAGTTAATGATGTTTTTGTTTAGAAAAAACAAAAAATTTAATGTTTTCTTAATCTGTGTGCAAAACTCTAAAATGACACTCTTTGTAAAACAGAGAGAGTATATTTTATTTTCGTAATGTCTGGAAGTTCTGACCAAATATTAGTACAAAAAATATAGATTCAGTGCTTCAATTTTCTAAATATTTGATAACATTAGGTACAAGGTTGGATTAGAAAAATTTAAAGAATGCAATTTGTCGTGATAATGTGTCAAGGTAAATCTATCTATCATGAATGTCGTGAATGCTCCCTCTGCTATATACGTTACATTATTGTTTAGACACGAAATTATTTATTTTTAATATTTATTCAAAAATTAAATTCTTAAAAAAAAAAAAAACGTGCAAAGTAGGGAATACATAGTACGAGTACTGGAGACCTTTCCCAAAAGATAGCTAAGTTTTATATTTCTCTTTACCAAGTCTCTCGAAGTAGACTCGGTCGTAATTCTTCTTCAAATAATGTCTTAACTTAAGCAAGCAATTCCCGGTGCATATATATATAAACACACAAACCCACAATCCAATAAACACATAAACACACAATCCAAATATACTTTTGATTTTCTCCTTCTTAAAATATCGTTTCCAAGATCGTCGTCATTTTGTGAAGTACTCTAAATTTACAGGAGCCCAATAATGAGCTGCGAAACATCGTTCACTAAACCTAGCAGGCCAAACGAAATTCAAAGGCTGATAGATCATAAAGAGATGCCTCAAGATCACCAGCTTGAAAGGCGCATTGATATTCACACGACTCGTTCACGAGGGGGCAGTCTAGTCGAGGAGGTCATGGAGAAGCTTGAGAGATTCAAAGTACGTACGGTTAACATCTTGGTGGGAGGAGAAGATGACGAACCGAAGAAATAAAACAAATTCCAAATATTTGAATTCATTCATTCATTTCTAACCAACAAGACTTTACCTATTCATTGCTCTTCGTTTTTCTTGTGAAGCTATTTAAAAAGTGAAATAGTAGTGTTTCAAAAAGCCCAAATTGTTCAAATATGTTTAATTAGACCTTTGTATATGTATGAATGCATCAATTTCTTTCGTACATATCAAAGTGTTAGCCTTAAATAAGCTGTTTGTTTTGGTACATATGTGATTTTGATGTACAAATTCGGATGAATTGCTTTGTTCAGAATAAATACAAAACTCCAAAATGTTGATTTAACTAGAATGCAAAAATATATTGAATAATAGTATCAATTATAAGCTAAAAGAAAAGTTGTTTTTGCTTGCTTTTCGCATTTACAACTTCCAAATCATATTTGATCAAATAGAAAAATGTTACTTCATCTTTTGATTATAAACATAAAAATTGCTGTTGGACCATGACCATTTAACTGATTGAAATAAAGTTAAAAATAGCTACATATATGTCTCAACAAGACTTATATATGAGTAATCAAATTAAAAGGTAAAATACATAAAAAAAAATAAAAAAATCAGCAAGCTTATGATTCGATTAAGACTCATAGCCATCTTGTGTGTTTTCCTTACCAAACCCATTTAGCTCCTCTCCTTTTCTTGTTTTGTTCGTTTTTCTTTTCCCATTCTTCTAACTAGTTAGCTATGCATCCTCAAGTATTTGCAAGATTGTTTGCATATATTTTATACTATCCGTTTGCTAGGGTTACACTATAGCTATGTTGTAACTTTTTTTTTTCCTTTAAATTTTCTGTGCCGATCGAAGTTCAAACTTTATCAAAATTTCAATTTCTATATACGAGATAGAAGTGGTAGTCAAATATGTTACAAGTAAAGTTGTTTCGTGACATCGACCATTATGTGAATTTTAAAAAAAAATCCTGGAAAATCTGGTTCGCGATGCAAAATGGCTTCGTACTTATGTCAGGTCAAGGTTCAAAATAGTTTCGTATTTTCTTATATAAAAATAATATGATTGTTTATTATGTCTATAATAGACATTTAAGACCAAGCCCTATGAAAATTGTATCCATCTGCAAAATAAACAAATGGTATCAGTCAAAGCACTGACTTTGTGAATACATTTGCAATTACATCAGACTAGATTGTAAAAGAGAATAATTTAAAGACAAAAGCTTAATACAGTACGACCTTATATTACGGTCTTAACGATGCATGCAATGCATCATTAGACACCATATTGTTTTTATTTCATACATACATATATAGAAACACACAAAATCACATATTTATATGGTTGGTTTGTTTAACTATCATGGAAAATTCCACAAGTAATCGTCTGCTCCAGTAAAACCATCAGCTTCGTAAGCAGCATCAAAGGCAGGGGGGCGAGGTGGGCTTAGAAGCATTCCTTCAGCCATATTCATGAGCACATTAGGCATGTCGAATACCAAATCCTCGTCCATGAACCCATTCATATTTGTATTATCATAACTACCATTCATTCGAGCCACACTGCTTGTTTGGCTGTTATTATTTGCCATAACAATCGAATCCCTAGCAGCACCAAAAGCAGCAGCGGCTGAAGCGCATGCTGCTTGGATGTCTCCTGGAGACATGGAGGTTGGGGCAGGCAAAGAGGAAACTGAGTTTGGGAAGTTTAGCTCAGCTTGACTGCCTTTAAGGGCTAGAGCTGCCACGTCATAGGCTATTGCCGCCATCTCGGGGGTAGAGAATGTTCCTAACCAGATACGGTTAGGTTTTCTCGGCTCGCGGATCTCAGAAACCCATTTGTTTGAGTTCTTTCGTTGTCTCACTCCCTTGTACAAAGGGTGACGGCCGCCATTGTCTTTGGAGGTTCCTTGCATATTGATAATGAGAATTAGGGTTTTGAGGAGAGAAGAGTGATGAGTTTGAGGAAGAAGCAGAAGAGATCGAAGCCATTTTATGGGGCAGTTAAGTTAGTTGGAGAGTGAAGTAGTGAAGAGTGAAGAGAAGAGAGTGAAGAAAGTGCAAACCAGTTATGGATGAAGAGAATAGGGTTTAGGAGGGATTGATCACAGCTTGGAGATGATGAAGTTAAAGCTGTAAAGACAGCTTTTTAATTGCTCCTCTTGTTGGATATCGCGTTTTTTTGGGTGGTGGCCAATTAAGTCACAAATGTATATATGTTTCTATCTAAAGTGGTCGTTTTCGCCATCACAGGTTCATGAAAATACATGTTTTCTCATGATCTTGACATCACTTTATTGAAAGAAAAATTAGTTACTTCATTTGTGTGATTTACAATATTTTTGGTATAATTTGTGTGATTTGCGATATAGATTTCAATGTTGCTATATATACACTCCATGTCCATGGGTATAATTACAACTTCTCCCATGTCATAATATGTATTTCCTATATATATATTGCTTACTTTGGGGTTAATGGTTATTTCAGAATAGAAATGAATATAGAGTTGACTTGGTGAAGGATCGGATATTTATAAAATAATGACAACCAAAAGTGTCTTAGAAATGCTAAGAAGAGGTTAGTATGTGATTGCTGTTTCGTTTGGGTCAATTTCTTTGAGGCTTCTTTATCATCCCCACTAGACATTAATATATTCTAATAGATTTTCTAGATTATTCTCATTCAAACTTGTCAAATCGATTCGGGTAAGAAATCCATTTCACGTCTCGATGTACCGTGGAATCTTTGTTCCCACCATATGATTAAAATAAAATTCACCTAATTAAATCAAAATTTCTCTATCACCTACACACACTAATAAACACTATGGTGTGTGCGGGTTGGCACTTGATTTACAAGGCTGTCGAATATCTATGTGAAAAATTATGCATTAACATTGAAAATTAAAACTTGGTTAACATATTAAAAATTTTCAGAACAAGTACTAGATTCATATATGCTAATTGATGTATTGTCTACAATACCAATTGAATCTATAACTAATCCACAGTGTAGTAAATAGTTGGTTACTCAACCATCAACCATTGATTGAGTTATTTTTGTATGCATATCAGTATAGTTTTTTTTTCAAATTCTAAACCAAATGTTCTACGATCAATTAATTTGGTTAACAGAATATCGTTGTTTTATTTAGAATTGGGATTATATGTTTCATTATAGTTTCCCAAATTCCAAGTGAAAAGTTTGGTGTCTATGTTCTCCAAGTCTCTGAATTCTCTGATATCTTTGTTGTTAGAACTATCGAAAAATCAAAGTACTAATTATTTTATTGACTACATGGAGGAATGATTCTAATATTTGGTAAAAAAACAAATAATAGTAAGCTAGCTTAATGTTTATCTAACAAAAGCTATTTGTATATATATAATCAAATTGTCTAGTAGAGTTTTGCTTTTGATCTTAATTCTTATGCTAGAAATTTATTCTTGAGGTAGAATATAATGTTAATTATATTACAAAAGCAGTTGGTAAATCCTTTCAACATATAAGATTAAAAATAGTGGCAATATCAAAGGATTCCAGTCTATAGCTCACCATTTTCAGATCACTGATACAAAAGATAAAAAGAATCTGGATACCCATAAAATGTTATAAATAATATAGATTTATTTTTAATATGCAATTGGTTTTAATTAGGATATTTTTTCTAAATCAATATATAATTTTTTGGATGTATTTGTATTCAAAGAGATTAATAAAACAAGTACATTAACAAAAATATGATTGAATTTGACTTGAAAGTTTAAAATTTTTGCAATACTAAAAATTATTATGGATGTTAAAAGTGCAAGCATGTCGGGTGGCCTGTAGACTGTAGTAGCAGGCCTTGACATATCATCTACTTGTAACAGTCTAACAGAGATGTTATGTCATCTTTGGAATCCAGATTTGAGAGCTCTCGTAACATTTAGTAGATCTTTTCTATTTTCTTGAGTTTGGTGGACACTATGAAACATCACTATTAGCATTGTTAATTTGAACCGAACAAGCTAATATTCATTCTTAAAAAGGTTTCATAGGAACAACACAGACCTCTCCTAAAAAAAAGCTTAAACGGGGTTCTTTTGTAGCACTCTACTAAACAAACCACCAAACAAAAACAGACAAAGTGAAAGCAAGAACGCAACGATGATATAAAAACTACGATCCATAGCCTCTTTCATCAGTACTTGTAATCCTTAACGTGGAGGCTCTCTGCTGCTCCTTCACCGAGCTTGGCATCACCTTTGTAGGTACCAAGTGTGGCCTCAGAGTTGGCCTTGCATCTGACCAAGAACGCTTCTTGCGCCTTCTTCACATTCTCCTCTTTTCCTCCCCAAGTCTTCAAAGTGCTCTGTTGCAACGCCCTTCCAAAGGAAAAAGACAGAGACCAAGGCTTCTTTGTCTTCAACTTGTTCATTGCGTTAAGGTTTCTTGTCGCCTCTTCCTCGCTCTGTCCACCAGACAAGAACACTATGGCTGGAACAGCAGCTGGCACAGTCCTCTGAAGAGCACGGACAGTGTGCTCTGCAATCACCTCTGGAGCAACCTTGGCACTCTCTGATCCTGGAGTCACCATGTTTGGTTTCAAGAGCGTTCCTTCAAGCAAGACATGGTGATCACTCAGGGCCTTGTAGCAAGCTGCAAGAACACGCTCTGTCACCGCTGCGCACTTGTGGATGTCGTGAGAACCATCAACAAGAATCTCAGGCTCCACAATCGGCACAAGACCGTTCTCCTGACAAATGACAGCGTACCTAGCCAATCCATAAGCGTTCTCATGGATAGCTAACTCAGAGGGCTCGTTTTGACCAATCTTAAGAACCGCACGCCACTTAGCGAAACGAGCACCAGCCTCGTAGTACTTCTTGCAACGGTCACCAAGACCATCAAGACCTTGAGTAGTCGTCTCAGCATTGGTTCCAGCAAGCTCAACGGTACCCTTATCAACCTTAATACCAGGCAAGACTCCTGCACTCTTCAACATATCCACAAAAGGCGTACCTGCATCACAATCAAATCAACCTCAGTTTAGCAACGATGAGACACAATAAGAGAGTCACAGATTCAGACTTGTAGTGATGTTAAAGTGTTAATAATTATTACCATTAGAGCTCTTCTGGTAGAGAGTCTCTTCAAAGAGGATAACACCACTGAGACAAGGAAGAGCTCCAGGAGTAGTAAAGAGAAGCTCACGAAGAGCACGTCTGTTCGATTCAACGTTCTCAACATTGATGCTAGCAAGACGCTTTCCGATGGTACCAGTTGATTCATCTGCCGCAAGGATACCTTTCCCAGGTGTGCCGATGTAAGCAGCGTTAGCAATCAGCTCATCTACAAGAGCAAAACCCAAACATTAGACTCTCGCATATTCAGATCACTTAACCAACAATCAAGGAACAAGTTAATGATTATCAAGTCCAAAGCCTTTAAATAAACCTCAAAACGTTAAACCCTAAGCCCTAAAAACCAAATCGAAGATAGATAATCTATCAATTCTCGCATGTACATAATTAGATCTCGAAATTTTTAGTAATAAAGAAGAAATCACATCAAAGTGGCACCGTATCAACAACGAATCCAAATAAATCGATCGTTCATAAAATTGATAAGCGGATTACAGAGAGGGAGATGAAGCGTTACCGGCGAATTTGGTGGTGAAGCAAGACATGGTTGAAGAATCGAATCGATGAAGAGAATTGGATAAAGAGAGAAATTGAAGATGATGATGATGATGATGATGATGATGAGGAATGTGAGTTTTTAGTTTATATAGGAGGGGGGTGATGGTAGCTTCCAGAAGAAGGTAAGCTTTTTCAGCCGTTGGATTCTTGTTTCTATGAGGAAGGTAACTTCTGTTTTTAACTCTAATATAGTAACTTCTACCACGTTCTATTTTTAAGGTGTGACTTCGGCCTCACTACGGCCCATCGTAGCCCAATAATATTTTGTTTTAAAAGTTGTGTTTACAAAATGACAAGTTTCTTCAAAGTAGTGAATATACACACAAGATTTTGACTTTGAGATCTTGGAACCAAAAATTTAGATTTGATATTTATGTGAGACTGTGAGTAGTCTAATTCGGACAATGAATCATTAAATTCATTGTATCAATTCTTTGATATTTATGTGTTTTTATTCATGAATTCTTTCTTGTTTATTTTTTTCTATCCTGCCTTTTGAATTTATCCCCTAGTTGCACTTTTTTATTTTGTTTGTTTAACTTTTCAATTTTTGTTTCAATGTCCTTTCCATTTTTGTTTTTGGAAATATCGAAAATGTTCATATCATCATTGTCGTCAACAAAAAATAATAATTTTGGAAAATATCATCATTCATATAAATGATATTAAGTTTTAAATTAAAAAGAAAAGATTACTTCTACATTATTACTATCATAGATATTTTGATATAATATACTACAAATGATGATCAAATTATCAGATTTATTAGTTCATGAATTTTAGTTGATTTAGGAATCCAAGCTAAAATCACGTTTTATTTATTAAAATCACGTATAATTCATTCTATAATTTCTAAATACTAGTTCAAAATCTAAATTAGATTATGCAACACAAAAACTTGAAAAAAGTAAAAATTAGACAACGAGTTATGTTAAAATGTCTTTTTTTTTTTTTTGTTCACTTTTTAGAGGCACAAATGATAAGAGAAAACGAATGTTTCTCATCTCTTGAACCAATCTTCTTCTTCATCTTACTCTCTTCTTCATCTTCATCAATCCATAATCTACTATCCAAACCACTCCTCCTCCGAAACATAAACACAGCACACGGAGGAGAAGACGATGAAGTCGAAGAAGACGATGACGACGACGCAGTTTTGGACGACGAAGTAGTCGAAGAAGACGACGCCGTTTCTTTGTAGAACCAGTCGTGTAAATCCCACATCATGTCTATAAGCATTCCATCGAAGAACATCGTTTGATTCCCTCTAAAATTCCACTTTATCTTCTTCACCGAAAACACTTTCCTCTTATCCACATAAACCGACATCGTTTCAGGACTTTTCAATTTCCATAAATACCCTTCTTCTCCTCCTCCTCCGCCGCCGTCGCATTGAATCTGAATCTCGTGTTTAGTTCCAACGTCGGAGAATTGAGCCTTCGTCGTGAGCCAACAAGTCCCTGAGAATCTCTCTGTTTTTGAGACTCGCCACGACGATGATGACGTGTCTCGCTTGCGGTCAACGTCGCCGATTCTGAGCGTAATCTCGGAATTCACCACGACGACGACGAAGAATCTTCTTATTGGTTCAGGTCCGTTGTTTTCGTACTCTGCTTCCGATAGATCCCAAAGAATCTCCGCGTTGAGTGAACCGGAGGAAGAAGTCAACTTTCTTGATCCTTTTGGTTTCCTGAGAGAAACAGAGTATGATTTCGGCGGCGTTGAGATGACGACGGTGAGATTATCCGACCAGGTGAGTGAAACAGAGACGGGATTGTCGGAAGAAGGGAGATTGGATTGATAAGTGGTGGTTACTGTGTCGGGGATTGAAGGAGGTAATGCCGGAGATATGTAGGAATGATTTGATGGACCTGAACAATATGCATCTGATACTTTAATGGCGTGTTCACTGTAACAAGCCGCGAGACCTCTCATGGTTTTCTAATAGAAAGGGTTGTTTTTTTTTTTCCCGGGAAAGATAGAAAGGAAGAAACTTTACAGAGGAAATGTGATTATGAAATTAAGTAAAAGATGAAGAAAGGTTTTGATTTTCTAGGGAAATTTGACAAAAAGGGTTATAGGTTTTGGTTTTGGATGCTATACGTGTGAATAAAGAGAGATACTTGAAGTTGAAGGAAGGAAGAACAATTTTTTTTGTCTTTGGAGGGAGACAAAGTTTTTAGAAAAGAGAGATAAAGTTTTGTGTGGAGAAGGAGCAAATGAAGTTTAGAGATTCTGTTAGGAGATTAAGGAACGACGTGGAAGAACATAAGAGACATGACAGAGAGATTTTTTTTACCGGGAAACTAAAAGATAAAGAAACCTGGTGGAGAAATAATACTATTAGTTAGGGTTTTTAAGTATTTTGGTACGGAAGTTTTTGCAGAGAAGAAATGGAGAAGAAGGAGAGGAATTGTTCCTTGTCTTGGATGTGTGTTTCATTCGGCCATGTGAAGATGTCTCTCTTCTGACTTTTTTGAGTTTCGTTTGGTTCTGTTAGGGATTTGTTTTTATATAATTGTTACTCCAGTTGAATGTAATAATTTTAAAACGAATCCATCATTAAATGTAAGTTAGCTATTGACAAAAAATAAGGTAGCGACAAGAAATGGGCAGAAATGAAATTTAGATATTTTGTACCATGTTCCTTGCATTATCAACATATATGAATTTTAAACTCTTGTCTTCCCTTGATATTTTGATACAATTCTTGGTTATTGTTGCCTTATTTGATAAAATATGAGTTGTCAATTTTGTTTAATCTGAAACTATCTAGAAATTATGGGTTTTTCAATTCATTTTGAGAAATTCTCTTAATGTCGTTAAAGAACTGTCTTTATAAAGCCCCAAGGAACGGACATTAGATAGCTCTTTCATTCTGCATTTAAATATAAATTGCCGCTGCTTCTACGATTAAATCATTAATATAACATAATTCATAGAAACAAAATTAAATATATCTTGTTTGCAAACAAACAAACAAAGCAGCTTAAATAATTCTTTGACCTGATTTATACAGCTTAGGTTGTGTAATAAGATGTGTGTTTGGTATTTTATATTCGTTAATTTAAGGAAAATACAAGATAGTATTCCAATGACGTCTTCGAAAGTAAGAAAAAGTATGCAGTCGTGCAAAATAGAATACGAGAGAGGAAAAGACTTGACCTTAACTGATAAACTCTAGACATATTTGATATTCACGTAAAATTTGTAGGTTTTAAACATAAAGAGAAACTAAGACTAATAGAAGATGAAAAGAAAAAAAAAGGAATCCATTTAGACGTATTTTTTATCGGGGAGAAAATAAAGAAGACAAGAAACGAAACATGATAGATGTAAAACAAAAAGGAACAAATCACACATCTTGGACTTGGATTTCTCAGTGCGTTATAAAATTTGAGAAATGGAAATCGTGAGTCATCAAAGACGAATGAAAACGAATCGATTCTATTTTTTTAAAACACACAAAGTTGGATAAGCTCTTATAAAGCTTACAAGCAATCATCTTACCTACAAGGCTACAACACTATCAACAATAATCTCTTTTTCCACAATTTATAGTTATTAAAAACAGGGTTGATGTGGCTCTTGAGTTTAAAACACATATTTGGAAGACTTGTCTCGTTCAGAATTAAACCCTTTTTACTTGCTTGCCTTAATACTTTCATTAATTAGGTAACTTAAAAATTACATAAATAGCTGTTAATGGGCTAACGGTTTAGATTTGTACTTGAAAACTCTTGAAGATAATTTTATTCGAGAAAAGAAGATTACCGAATCTGCTATAAGTCATATGTAAATACCATTTTCGGATGATATCCTTATTTGGCCAAATATTGACCATTTCCAATGGTAACAAACTATATAGCCACGATGACGTTCTCAAAAGTTTGCATTTGAAAATAATGACTAGTTGCATTGCTTCTACGGAAAATCAAACCCTTACTTATTCAATAAAGATGGCAAAGCCAAAGCTTATTCTGAGACCACATTAATTTTTGATGAGCTCTTCTTATTCACGTGAAAATTGAGTTTTCCTGAAAGCAAGGAACAGCGAAGAAACAGAGAAAGGTCCTCTGCTTTTCTAGCCCTCTCCCCACCTACACATTCATTACAAGACTCTCTTCTTATAACTCTCACACCTTTTGCATTTCTCTCTCCAATAAATGTTAATTTTGCTCTTTACCCAATCTGCAAGCAACTCCCAATCTATGAGGATTCACATGATAACCACAACTACTCTCAAATGACAACACAAATCTTTCAAACAGAAATAGTAATTGCTAAGTTCCATATATGGTCTCATGGCTTTGCTTTGGATGTTCGGGATACGTTAATCTGACAAATCTGTGTGTTGTTTTCATAAGAAACCCGCATATATTCTTTTGTGACACACGAAAAGAAAAGCATAGAATATGGAAATGTGCAATATTGGGAAGGCCTCTTTTGCTCTTTTTGTATTTGTATATGATGATGAAAAAGGAGAGAGACAAGTAAGAAAATATAAAATTAAAAATACTGCACATCTTTTTTCCTCAACTCAAAGCTTGCACTTTTCTACAAAACTAGCATCATGAGGAATCACAAACCTGTTTCCTCTGTGATGCCACTAATTCCTCCACCATAGGTCTTCATATGCATATGGAGGCTACTCAACAATTTCCTACCAGAATGGAACCAAACAAGAAACGGACACGTAAAGGTGGATTCATGCAGGATTAAAGAACAATGTTTGAGATCAGTGAGCCCTAGAATGACCAAAGGACGCAGATTGACTAGAGCTACAAACAATTTACCTCCTTGATTGCATTTCCAACTTCCAAGCTCTGTAATGAACTCGTGGTCAGACAACCTGTATGGACGATAGGACCACTGGCCTCACTGTTGGCTGGAGGATTGGTCAGGTAAGAAGCTCCCTTGAACATCCATTGAGCCATTTCTTGACTGAAATAATCCTCAAAAACTTCTCCACATAATACACATGCGCATTGGGTCTCATCAGCAGCTACGGCTGGACCATCCTCAATAGCACTCTCAGGTTCACTCAGAACTTCCTCATCTTCAGGTTCTAACTCTCCAGCTTTTGCTGCAATCCAGTTTTCAACCTTTGGAAACCAAACCCTACATTTACTGTTTTTGCCACTTAACTCGCCCTTACTCTTATCATGCAACTCCATGTGCCTATCAAGTTCTTCCTTTTGTTTAAGGCGAACGCCGCAGGAGGTGCAGAGATGTGGAAGATCATCAAAGAGACTACTAATGACAGAGGGGTGAAGTTCACGGATTTTGTCTGCCCTAAACTTCAATCCTATGAGGTCCTCAGGTTCAGATTTTGATGTCTCAGATGCAGTTAACCCTTTTACCTTAGGGGCAGTGGATGGCCCCTTCTTCACCAGAACAGATGGTTGAGCATCTGATGGAACCACAGATACAGACATAGAGCTATTGGTGGAATGATCAGGACTATGTTCCTGCGTTATGGAAGGAGCCGATGGCTGCTCTGTCTTTGAAGCAGATATCAAGCCCTTTGAAACTAAGGAGCTCAAGAGGCATGAAAGAGGATCTGAGGCCTTACTATTCTCATTTGACGTTTGTACTGATGTGATGCCAGTAAGAGACGCTGCACATGAGACAAGTGGTGCGGAGGATTGTTCAACTTTTAAACGAGCTAATAAATTGTCACCAGCCACTGAAATTGGCAATGCTGATGGCAAATTCTTAGGCTTAGAGGCCGCTGATAGGGTTAGTGCCCCTGGGTTAACCTCATCCTGAGAAATTTCCTCCTTGATCGCACCATGTGTTGAATTATTAGAAAGGATTCCACTCTTCATGACAGCTTCCAGCAAATCACTCATGTTGGGTTGTCCTGTAGCTTCTGAGGCAATAGTTAGGCCTGGAGCATTTTCAGCTGCCAACTTAGAGTCAAAGATTTCCACTTGAGATGCATCAGGTAGTTCACGCATATTTGTGTTTTTAAACTGACTACTTGAAGATGGGATCCGTACAGAGTCATCCCTGGGAACATTTTTTGCTGGAAACCGGGAAGCCCTAGGATCACGTTGAGGGAGGGAGTGAGCTCTTCTAACATCTTGCTTGGTCACATTCTGTTTAGAAGTTGAATCATGTAAAGGCGACTGTCTATCTGACCCAGATCCTGAGCTTGGCAAAATTCCAGAGCTGGCAACCCTAGGTTGAGGCTGAATTCCCTTTCTAGCTGCAGTAGAGGTTGCATTAGTAGAAGAAAAAACTTCTGAATCATGCAAAGATCTTGGAGAAGACGTCCAATGACCAAAAATACTTGGATCTTGTTGCTCGCTGGAATTCGCTGGGTCAAACCTTGGGTCGAGAGCTGAAAACCTTGGTCGTTTTAAGTGGTGATTTTCAGTTTCCTACAAGATGGGAGACGGTTAAAAGCTAACAAATTAAAATGAGATACATCACAACAAAAAGGAATGCAAATTACTATCATAGCTAACCAGTCTCTCTGATTCATCTGGTGCATGAAGCTCGTTCTTTGGGTTGATAGTGGCTACATCAGTTTCGGATAACCTTGAGTGCATATCCCACATAAACTCTTCTTCCTCAGAGTTTTTCCAACTATCACAAGGCGCACCTATATTTCTACTGGGACCACTTGATTCCAAATTTGCTAGTCTCGCCATAGCATAGTTGGAAGTTCTGCTTTTGGTATGTAACCCATCCCTTTGGTCAGAAATCAGATCAGGACTCCTGCTCATAGCTCCATACCATTGTTTCTCACATCCGTCATCAGTAATCATCGCTGAACCAACTTTCTTAATCACTGATCTTGAGTTATGGGGTAGATCAGAAGCATAATCATATTCCCCTGCTATTGACTCGATATCTTTCTCGTAGAGGGGTTCACTAAGTAAATCTCTTTGAGGTCGCCGAATGGTCTGAATTCCACAAACAATCAGTAGACAGCACTTAGGTAAAAAACTGTAACCGTGCCAAGGAAAAAACATCTTACATTTACTTTAGCTGGACCTACCCACGAGCCTCCAGATGCTATGCTTGAAACTCTCTCCAGTCTATCTGAATCCCTAGTCAAATTGGGTGCGATTTCTGGTGTATCAGTAACCATTCCTTTTGTCTGCAAAGAAAACCGAAAATACTCAGGGCACTTTTAATAAAGTCGGTACGTAGCTTCTACTTAATATCCGGAGACCTCAGGAACCTTTGAAAGAAATTAATTGCGGCCATAAATAGTTACACTGCCAAAAACCAAAAAACATAAGTACCCTATATTTATGAACACTTAGAACAGAGAAAGCTCTAGTAGTCCTGAAGGTTACATTTACGAACACTTAGAACAGTGAAATCTCTACTAGTCCTGAAGGTTAGGGTGTATCATCACTAATAACTTTCAGTGGCTGCAAGTTTACTTTGGTTTGCTTACCCGTCCCGACTGCTGAAGGCGCTGCCTTTCTAGATACTTGGGATTCACATGGATGCTATGTGGTGGGCGCTGAGATTGCGGCTCAGCTCTGGCTGTGGATATAACAGCTGCTGAACCATCACTTTTAGCATTAAAGCCAAGTTCTTTCTCAATAAGCTGAAGTGTTTGCGGATGAAAGACGCCTTTCCAGGTTCCAAAAAGATGCCGCATGTTAGAATGCATAGGAGGGTCAACTTGCCTGTAAGCCTTAACAAAAACCTTCACAGTAGAATAAAGAGGGAGATCAGAGATGAATTTGCTAGGAAAAAGACATTCTATAACCATGACTATCAACAAAGCACCAAACCTCAGGCAGCCTGGCACCAAAGTACTTGATGTAATCCCTTCCGATGTTCTTCACAATGCTGTCTAACAGGTACAGTGTTGGCAGCTTCTGATCACTTGGTACCTGCATGATATTCTTCAAATCAGATACCCAGAAGAAAAAAAGGCCAATTTGATCTCATAGAGAGTAACATCGAGGATTTCCACACTTGAGCCTCTAAAGGTAATGAAAAAATCAATAACTTAAAACTAGAATCAAAAGCACAGACCACAATGACATTCAAGTATACACCTATAAACACTCTACAACTAGGAATACAATAATAGACACAGATAACCATTAGACGATGTTAATGAGATCTACAAGCCCAGCAATGGCAGAGTGACAACACTAGCTCAAGTGAGAAACAGTGAAACGACAATTCTTGTCTCCCCACCGACTTGATTGATCAGGCTCCTTCTATTGAATGCTTCCTTGCTACCCAAAGACTGAATAAAAGTTGACTTGGCTTTCTGGAGAGCATGCAGTAAGCAGAAGCCATCAACGGAAAATCCAACCTCACTAAAAACAGAGCTTATGAGAGCCCTTGCCAAATAGTATAGTGAAATACAAACAACTCCAACGCTGACAAAGAGACTACACACTCCTATAACCAAAACTCAGTACAATCACATGAGGAGCTGGAATATGCATTCTTGATAAATGAACATGAACAAAATGGTTGCATAGGTAACAACTATTTTTGAGATAGTTCACAACATAAGTGTCAGGAAACAGAAGCCTGTTTGATAAAAAAAAAGAAAAAGAGTATGAACTTCGTTTCAAAAGAAATGATTTGCGACTTGATGAAGAAACATAAAAACGCATAGATCCCAAAAAAGATACTAGGGTTGCTTCAAAAAACTCGAATTTCTCATTGAACCTCGTAATACAGATAACACAAATCTCTACCACCACCTTTACCTTAATTCCCTTATATCGTACAATTAGTCAAACAACTAGAGCACGGAGTATAACAACAACAACTATAACAGTGGGCATGAAAACTGGGTGTTCACCTCGAGGATGTTGTTGCAAATGGTGGCTACGACGGCTTTAGCAGCATGAACATTCTCTCCAGCAATTATTGTAAGGTTCGTTATTATTGGCTTCGAGTTGAAAGTGAGCTCAGCCAGTGCAGACTTGTACTGATTCACAAGCTCGTAATGTGGATGAACCGGCTGTGGCTGGTAAGCCTCTCGGCTCGGATCACTTGCAATACTACTCTCAATTTCTCTGCCACCAACTCGAAATCTTGACGACGCCGGTGGTACTGTCACCGCCGTAGCCGTACCAAGCGTTCTCTGCGACAAAAACTGCCGCGCGTTGGAATTCACAGGCCGGATTGATTCCTCGCTGAGCCTAGGTTTCTTCATCGGACCTGGATCTCTGGATCTATCAAACGGTCTACGCGAATTCTCCATTTCAAAGAACTATACAACACAAGAGGTACGCAAAAAATGCCTTAAATTAAACCTAATCGGCAAAATCGATTGCAGTGACAACAAATCCTCGTTAGAGGGGAACTCAGAGCATTACAGCAATCAGTAACCCTAAGTTACAATCTACAAATTGAGATGCATAACGCGATTCTGCGAAGAAGACGGAGATGATAGGAGGGATGCTTCGAAAAATGGCAGAGAGTTTGGACAATCTCCGATCAATTAGGGTTGCAAATTGGGGATTTTAAGGGAAAAAAAAAGAAGTTCGAAAAATATGTAGGCCCATTTAATGGCCCAAACTCCATCATTTAGACAACAAAATTTGATTATTCGGTCTGGTTAAACCATCTGATTCAAACCAAGTTAACCGAGATTATATATCGAACCAAATCTCGAACTGTGTTTCTTATGACTGTTTAAAGACGTGTTACAATTACTATTAGCTGGCTCTATGTTTCACTTTTTACATCAGCTAGTGTTAACAGTGGCCATGACTAAAGAAGATAGAAAGAAGTCGTTGATCCACGACCGCGAGGATGTCAGGATTGTTGAGCTGAGAAGGATACCAAATCGTCTTGTCTTCTTGTATTTGATTGAAACCCTCGAAGGGATACCGAAACATGAACATATAAACCTTTCTTCTTTTATTAATTCAACTTAAACCAATGAAGATTGAATAAAACAAATCACCAAAAATGCCCAAATGATCAAATAAGTGACGTCTGGCCCATGAGATGATGTTGAAGATCTCGTTGCATCAGCTAGTTTTGTACAGTGTGCTATCTCTAAAGTCTAACTATAAGTCTGTATTTATTTGCTTGCCTTCGTAGCACTCTGATTAGGCGGGTTAGCCAGTGACTTCATTTTGCTTACCGGGAAGTGCAATCTGGCTATCAAAGGTTTTGGTCCTCTTGTCTCACGGTCAAATCCACGTACACATACGTACCCTACAGATTTAAAAGATAAGTTATGTTTCAGAAATAAGAAGATATTGCTATAGCTTAAACAAAATGTTATGACGTTACCTCTCCAAAAGCATTGCTGAATTGTCTCTGTTGATAAACCTGAAAAAAATAGCTCTAGTGGTTAGAACACCTTTCTTTTATATGAACAGTAGCATCACAATCAAATAATGAAGATCCTATCTATACCTTTGAATATTGTAGGTATAGAAGTTCCAAAGTAAACAGCTCTCCTTGTTAAGTCCCATAACGTTTCCCTTGGAACATCAATTGGGTTTAGGCTAGACGCATGATCCGCAAACACCTATATTAATAAATTACATCAGAGATTTCATTGCAAATAATTAAAAGAACGAGATGGATATATTGGACTTGAAGAGTGACCTCGTTTACTTGGAAATATGTTCCATTGAGTGGGAAGCTACCCCTCATTGCGGTTCTACAAGGTATCTGCAAGAATTTACAACATATTATTTTGTATAAACATACCAAGATTCCCCAAGTGTATACCGCAGCAAAAGGAGTTTGAGGCAATAACTTACCAAGATTGTCCCTCTAACAGTCTGAGATCTCGCTTCTTTGATGCTGTTGCATGAGAAACAAGTCTCCTCATCACAAATCTGACCATTTTCTTGGGATATACACTTGCTCACAGTTGGTTGAATGGAATCAGCCGTTTCACCTGTTAAAACCGTAGTGGTTTAAGAAACTTTTTAATCGATCTGATTTCATGATTAAAAGATTGGCAGATCAGTAAATAATTTCTTAATCACCTGGCGTCCAAATAGCAAGTAAGTAAGAACATGGATCATCAGGTTCTCTCTTCTCCAACTGCCACAACAAACACAAACGGCTAATCAGATTTTACAATATTGAAAGCACTATAAGGCATGTGTCCTCATCCAGTTACTTCACATACCTGAACTAGAAGAGGATGGGAGTCTGGAAGTTCGTAACTGCAAGATATGCAAAATAAATAGAAAGACAGAAATCAAGTTTTCAATAAGGCAAGCTGAACAAAATGCAAAAGTTTCTTTAACCTGTAAGTATTAGGAAGTTTGTCTGCTTTCCAACTTACGAGTAAATGCTTGGTCTATCACTTAATTATTCTACTCTATTCAACCTTTAATATTTTGAAGAATGTGTTTTGGATTTAATTTCAACCTAAGACACGATGAATAACAGAGAAAAATGGATACGTACACTTGGTGTTCTGTCCTTAACTGACTGATATTCTTGAGCTTCGGCATTGGAAGATAAGCAGCTTCAGCAGTAAGTGCAACTAAAGCAGTGGACATGTTTCCGTCTTGTAGTTCCTGATTCTGTTCTATTATTTTCTTTAAGTTACTGGTAAATGCATCTGTGTTTAGCCTGATTGTAGGAATTTCTTCCGGATCCTCAAAAAAAGCATCCTCTATGTCAGCTATTGATACTTGTGCGCTTTCAGGCTCCGGTGATGCTGGCTCTTCAATGATTGGTTCACAACATGTGACCTTTTTCGCTGGTTCTGAGTGCTGTTTTACTTCAGACCCTTGCTCTCTATACAATGGTTCTGGGAGGTGCAGAGGCAAAGGGTTTTTATCAGGTGTCCCCATACCTTTCTCTGTACTGGGTAAAGCAAGCCTTGCGCTGTAAAACAAATGAAGGTTACTAAATTTTCTGTAATTATTCAGAGCGAAGTTTAGATACTAACAATGAGTTTCCTCATAGTGGCGTACTAAAGGTTTAAGAGAACATGTTGTAGCACCTTACAAACGCACTAGCAAAATGTCTGCATTCTCCTCTCATCGGACATGCATTGCAATTAGGTTTGCTCTTTGTGCAAAACACCTGAAACATAATCATGTGAGCTACTGATTTTTTCATACATATATATGTGTATATTGTTTTATACATACCTTTCCAAAGGTAATCATCTGGTAGTGTAATTCATACCTGTGTGAGATAATAGATAATAGGGCATTAATCTAATGAATGGGTCTAATAGAATCAGGTATGAAAAAATAATAAGATAGTGCTAAACATGATGAGAGGTCTTACAATGTTTTTTGGTCAAGTTTGCAGAGACGTGGCCAAAGATACTTTTGAATAGATTCAAGAATAGGATACCTGGATATACCAAACCCCAAGTGTATAAGTAATAAATTACAATTTCCAAGTAGTACCATTTGTAGACTTCTTACATTTCTAGAAGATGCAGCTGAAGTGACTCTGGCAGTGGCTGAAGGGGTACCCATCCTAGTCTAACGGCTATGCGCGCAACATTCGTATCAACCTGTCAGTAAGTTTTACCTTAGGTTCATACATCATATAATTCACTTCACAGGGACAAAAAATAAAGAATGATCCTGGCTTACTGGAAACGCAAGATGGTGCAGTGTTAGAAGCCGCACGCACTCCACACTTTTTAGGCCCAATCCTCTAAAACTCAGAAGATATTCTCTGCATGATTGTATAGAATATGAGAGATACACAATGCAGTATTAAATCATTGACGCTTAACTGTCTAAGTAGTAATTTTTCTATATCGCGGTGAATGAAGAAGAAAATAAAATACTTTTCTTTCAAACTCACTTTGCTTTATCGGGTGGAATGTCTCTCAACCATTCAAGATCGATACTACCGTGTTCGTTGACCAGTCGATTAAGGAACCCCTGCATTATTTTCATGTTCACGGTCAACAACTTAAAATGAAAGGTATCAAGAAATTTGGCCACATTTAAAGATAAAATTGGACCTGTATACGTTCCGCAAGCATATGGTTCATCCCACGTTTCTTGATTGTTTCAGCAACTTCACTAACATCCGCTGTTCTTATTGCCTCCCAGTCCACAGAGTCCATTGTCCTTGTTGTTTTTTCTCTTTTTCCTTCTCTACCTTCTGCTTCTCTTCTTAAACTATCCCAATCAAACGCCTCTTTTTTCTCCTTTAAAACCTTTTTTCCTTTTGCATTTAAGGTAGCAGCATCTGTCGGATTGAGCTCTTTGCACGATGAGTCTGGAAGCTGCCTTGAGTAAGGATCTGGTGGATTTTCTGTGTCTTCTATGACATCAAGACAACTCGTGCTTTCATTTAGATCTGGAATCTGGAAGCTGCGTTTGCGTTTTGTCGAACGAAAGCTGCTAGAGCTTTCAGGCATCTCAGGTTTCTGACAACTCAAAACATCACCATCTTGCTGATAGCAACAATAAGGTTCATAACTATCATCAGAAGATTTTGTGGGCCTTTTCAATGAATGGAAATCAGTAATTTCTGAGCTACAATCACCGGGAGACATATTTGGTGATACTTGTAAGCTTCCAGGATTGCTTAAAACCCCAACTTCATACTGATTCTTTTGATTGGACTCTTCTAGTACCCCTTGTAGGAGCTTCATATAGGAAGTACGATACTCTCCTTCTAAGTTGATCTCTGTGCTTGATCCTGCTCTCTCGGTATTTTGAGGAGCATCAGAAACCATCGAATGTTGACATGTAAGTGCAGAATCTTCAGATGTAAACAGGTTTAGGACAAGGCAGTTCTGACCTGTCTTATCAACCTCTACACTTGAGCCTTTTCGATCTGGTTCCACGAACGTCTTTGAATCCGTGGTTTTGTCAACTGATTGATGGGCTGAGCTGGAAATCTCACTACTACTTCTGGAGGTTTCACTGGTATGTACATAATCCTTCTCCTCATCAGGCTGTGTGTTTTTTAAAATAACAGAACTCTGATTGTGATTGGGTGGGCTTGACATCGACTCCTCTGAGTCCAAGTAAGTTATTTGAATAGAAGGCATCGAGCTTGTTCCAGCTTCAAAGTTACTGCTGGGCACTGAAGTGACCGGGAACTCGGAAACCAGCGACATGAAAGCTGAACTACAAGGACAAAAAAAAACAAAGCAAGTTAGTTTTGTGACTTGTTGTTGTGTTGGATTTGGTTTCGAAGTAGAATTACGTAAGTGCTTATACCTCGAAAGATGGTCTGAAACATTTTGAGTGAGAAATACTCCAACAACAGAATCCACAACGGATCCCTTCCAAGGCGTAAAACGTCGATCCCCTGTTACAAAACCGAAGACCATAACAGAAGTTATAACTGCGACATACAAGTTATAGATCAAAATACTAATTGAAACCATGTAGTTAGAACAAACACAGGTAAATGGAAAAGTGTGGTGTGTAACCTTGTACAAGATGCATCCGTGCTATAAATGAGTCTGCTCGTCCTCGAAACACATTACGTTCTTCTTCCCACCATTTTGCCTTCTGGTCGTCTGATCCGTCAATACCCTCACTATTAATATTCTCCAATAGCAGTTTCCAAACTTTTTCTGTCTCGTCGTCTAGGTCAACCTTTGGTCGTGGGCGCCGTTTTTTAACAGGAGTTACAGGCACAATTGCTCCAGCGCCACCGCCGAAGAGGACAATCTGGTTTCCTTGTGTTTTCATTGAGTAAGGAACGAGAGCAGTTTCAGAATTCTCCCTGTTGATGTCCAATAGACGCAATTGCTCACTGATTTCTTCAACCAAGTTAGGTTGTTTCCAAAATTCATCTTGAGAAAGACCTGCAGGAATTAAACATCATCACTATCAACAAATAGTCTGCATTCAATAGATTCAAGAAAACAAAGAAATATAGTTGTGTATGTATTCATTACCAGAAAATGAAGCTGGAAACTGGCAAGGATTTGGAAGAAGAGTTTTCTTGTTGGTTTGTGATTTCTCAGACTTAGTGATTCGCTTCTTTTTGCTCACGGTCACCCGCGTATCAACAAGAATCTTATTACTCTTCTGCTTTGGTTTGCTATGATATCCTGAGGGTAATTGCTGAGAAACTTCCACAAGTTTATTCATGGGAGATAAATCCCGCAATCGAACATGGCCTGTAGTTCTCGTCTTTATCGGCGTTTCTATCATATCCAAGAGAACACTGAACTCAGACTCTTGCCTTCCTTGAAAGATACCTTTGCGTTTTTCTTTAATGGTTAGGACTCTATTAGCATTGGGCTGAGATGTGAAACTGTAGCAGTTAGAGTCAAAGGCAGAAACATCCTTATGTTGTTGTCCAGCGAATGATGTGCTGCAAATGGGATCCGATCTAATCCATTCCTGTTGCAAGTTTTGGAAATACAACCAATGCATTTTTTGGTAGTCACATTGCTCATCGTACTGAATCCCTGATAGATTTATGTCACCACAAGTTGGTTCTTTTCCTTGTCTTCTCTTTCCAGCTTGTGCCATCGAAAGATCAACTCCATCTTGATTACCTCCATTCTTCTTTGGTTCCGTTCCCTTTCTTTTACCTTGGCTGCATTTTCTCTTGGGCAAGCTAGGCTCCGTCTCATCTCCGTGTTTTGGGTCGCTGTTGGTCTGGTTATCTCCGTTTTCGGGTTCAAAATCCAAGACTCGTCTACAGAGCTTCTTCGCATGAGTTAATGTTTCTACAGCTGCTGATGATTCAACAGGAGTAGATTCTTGATCCTTATTGACTTCCACCTTCTTCCGCACATATTTCCTCTTTGGCGTTTTGCTTTCTTGACCATCAGCAACAACAGATTTCCTCGAAGTTGGCGGTTTAGGCTCCCTCTTGGGTTTAGCTTCTCTAACAACCTTTGGCCTATGCTTCTTCCTCTTTGGTTTTTCAGGAGTTTTGATGATCTCTTCAGCAACATTGTTACTCACTGAGCTCAGAATGTCCACTGCTTCATTACCTTTTTGCATCATCTCTGTGTTTCCTACATTGAGAATCAGATCTTCCTCAGTCCAGCTTAGATAAAATTTGACAAAGCAATTTCATTTCTAATCAGACCAGAATCAAAACCCCATCTTACTTGTAGGTTCTGAGGCCCAAGGGGTCTGGCCGGAGAAATAGACTGATGCAACATTGTTACTCACTGAGATCAGATTATCCACTGCTTCATTACCTTTTTGCAGCATCTCAACCTCATCTCTGATCAGACCGGAATCAAAAGCCCTCTCACTTGTGGGTTCTAAGACATTACCATCCCAAGGGGTGGTCTGACCAGAGCAATAGAGTGATGCATTGTTGGATAGAGCCAGAAAATCACCAAAAGACAACTGATTCATGTCGAATCTCCTGCAAGCATCACTTGCTTAAGCAACTACCCAAACAAGAAACCTCCAAAATCTCTCAACTTTAAGACAAAAGGACTAACCTTTCCTCCACTTGATTCCAATGAGTTTGTTCCTCCTCCACAGTGTTTGGGCAGATGGGAGAAATTTCATCTCTGATCATCAGACCGGAATCATTACAAGCCCAAGAGGTCTGACCGGAGAAACAGACAGGTCTAGTGTTGGATAAAGCTAGCAAATCACTGAAAGACAAGTGATCAAGACCACCCATGTCGAATCCTCTGCATACATCATCATCACTTGCTTAAAAACCAACCATTTACCCAAATTGAAAAAGTTCTCAACTTTACAACAGAAAAGCAATAACCTTTCCTCCACTTGACTCCGATGCGATTGTTCTTCCACTGTATATTGGTAGATCGGATCCATCGTGTATGGTCTGATCGGAGAAATGGGCTTCATAGGTGTCAAAGGAATCATCCATGAAGGAGGAGGTTGTTGAATGCTGCTTTCTTCTCTCCTCCTCTGTTTCTCCATTTCCTTACTCTGTTTTGACTCTTTCTTCACTCTTCTTTAATCAAAACCATTTTGATCTTCCGCTGTAAATTCTTCAAAAAATCATTTTTGTAGAGAAATGTTAAATTTTTTGAATAGAATTAGATCCACATTTTTCTGGGGGTTTAAAGAGATATCTCCGCAAGTCATTGATATTTGGTGAGTAGTAGCGACATGAACGATTAATCCGTGAGGTTAGAGTAGAAGAAGATGACATTTAAAAAAAAAAAAACATTTTAGAGAGCAATTTACCAAAATGTAAAAAAAATAAAACCATAGATAAAGAAAAATTTACCAGTGGTTGAATTGAATCAATGGTGGAGATCAAAGTGATAAAGAGTATAAAGTTTGTTCAGTGGTTTAGCTGTGAAGAGGAGGATCAGATTCTTTTTGTTGTTGCTTCCTTTCTTCGAAATGATCAAAGTTAAAAAAGAGATTGAGAGATTGAGACAACAAATTTTCAGATTTTATTTACGCTTTCCCTTATTGGGCAACATATTTTCCAATTAAGATTGAGATTTTATAATTTTTTTTTTTTCACATACTATTTTTGTTTTGATACTCTATAAAAAGCAATAAATGTCAAATATTTTATCTTCATTATAGCAAGGCATTCTCACATATTTTGTAACTCTCATATAATCCATGTTGTATAGGAAGTAGATTTCCATTAATTTATTTTTGTTTTATGTTTACAAGTTTTCTTAACTTCCATTTTTAATTATTTATAGTAATACTCTCAATGAAATTAATAATAACAATAATAAAAAAAGAGAAATGTGACAACACATAGAGATTAATATATGCACTTATTGCATTATTTGTAACTTATATAGTGTTTTGTAACTCCTGTAACAAAGAAAGAACTACATAGTACATTCTCCTTACAGATAAGAAATTGATATAAAGCTTATAATTGTAATTTTTTCTTTTTTTGGGTAATTTTTTCTTTTTTTCGGTAAAAGATTTTTGTGTAAAATTTATTTGTAAATTGTAACTCTTACAGTAATCTTTAGTCAAAAAAAAAAACGATATGCACTTATTGATTCCTCCTTAAGCTTAGGTTTCTTAATGGATCTATCGAACGTTCTACGCGAATTCTCCATGTAACAACAAAACTACACACAATAAAAAATGCCCTAAAATTTAACTAATTAAATCGGGGATTTTATTTGGTCAAAAAAATATATGGGAATTGTAATTACGGCGACGTGACAAAAAAATGTTAAAAGATCGGAGCTGGTTCCAACAATAGAATTCTTTGGTCCGGTTTAACCATCTGATTTAAACCATGGTAAATGAGATCCTCCACATATCGAACCAGATCTTGATTCAGGTAACCAAAAGCTAACCGTAAAGAAGGAAACAGAGAGATTCAGCTACGGGTCTGTTTCTTGCGACAAGTAGTGGTATTTGTCTATTTGGTACTACAAATTAAGACGAAACTAAAATGGGATTTAAAACCTTTTACAACTCTAGGACTGTTAACTCTACGTTTCACTTTCTTACATTAACTAGATTGGTACAGTGTGCTCTTTCACTCTCTAACCATAAGAAGCTGTATTTGTTTGCTTGCCTACGGATTAGGCGAGGTTAGCTTGGTTTGCCTTCAGTTTGCTCGCCGGGAAGTGCAATCTTGCAATCAAAGGCTTCGGTCCTCTCGTCGTTCGATCAAATCCTCGTACACATACGTACCCTACATAGTTTTAAAAGATAAGTTATGTTTCAGAAAAGGAACAAATTGCTATAGCTTTATACAAAATGTACCTTTCCAGAAACACTGCTGAATCGTCTCGGTTGGTAAACCTGAGAAAAAAATAGAGCTCAAGTGGTTAGAACAACTTTCTTTTATATAAACAATAGCATCACAATCCAACAAGAAGATCTTTGTACCTTTGAATATCGTAGGAATAGAGGTACCAAAGTAGACCGTTCTTCGAGGTAAGTCCCATATCCATTCCCTTGGGACATCGATTGGGTTAAGGCTGGAAGCATGATCCGCAAAAACCTATATCAATAGAATACATCAGAAGTTTCAATGCAAATAATTACATGAGAGAGTTGGATTTATAGGAGTTCAAGTCTTACCTCGTTTACTTGAAAGTAGGTTCCATTGAGAGGAAAACTACCCCTCATCGCGGTTCTACAAGGAATCTGCAAGAATTTACAACATATTAATCTGTAGAAACATAAGTGTAGTTAGCAGCATAAGGAGTTTGATGCAATTACTTACCAAGATAGTCCCTCTCACAATCTGAGTTCTCGCCTCCTTGATGCTATTGCAGGAGAAACAAGTCTCCTCATCACAAAGCTTACCATTTGCTTGGAATATACACTTACTTACAGCCGGTTGAATAGAATCAGCCGTCTCACCTGTTGAAAACCACAGCGATTAAGGAAATTTTTTTATCGATTTGATTTCATGATCAAAAGATCTGCAGATCATTCATCACCTGGCGTCCAAATAGCAAGCAAATAAGAACATGGATCATCAGGTTCTCTCTTCTCCAACTGTAACAACAAACACAAATTGCTAGTCAGATTTTACAATATTGACAGCACTAAACAGCATGTGTCCTTATCCAGTTACTTCACATACATGAACTAGAAGAGGATGCTCGTCTGGAAGTTCATAACTGCAAGATACGGGAAAACAAAACAGAATCAAGTTATAAATAAAAGTCAAGCCGAAGAAAATTGTTGATATCTTAGCATTGCAAGTCTTTATGGCATAGCCTGTAAGTATTGGGAAGTTTGTCATTTAATAATTTTGAAAAATATGTTTCTGATTTCATAAGAACGACGAAAAACAGGGAAATGGATACGTACACTTGGTGTTCTGTCCTTAACTGGCTGATATTCTTGAGCTTAGGTATTGGAAGAGAAGCAGCTTCAGCGGTAAGTGCAACTAAAGCGCTGGACATGTTTCCGTCTTGAAGTTCCTTGTTGTGTTCCATTAATTTCTTCAAATTACTGGTAAATGCATCCATGTTTAGCCTGATTGTAGGAATTTCTTCTGGATCCTCAAAAAACGCATCCTCTATGTCAGCTATTGATACTTGTGCGCTTTCTGGCTCCGGTGAAGCAGGCTCTTCGATGATTGGTTCAGAACATGTGACCTTTTTTGCTGGTTCTGAGTGCTGTACTACTTCAGACCCTTGCTCTCTCTGCAATGGCTCTGGCAGGTGCAGAGGCAAAGGGTTTTTATCAGGTGTCGCCATACCTTTCTCTGTACTGGGTAAAGCAAGCCTTGCACTGTAAAACAAGAGAAGGGTTACTTAATTTTCTGTACCAATTCAGAGCTACTTAAATACGGACAATTCTCATTTACAGGGTTATATTTGAATAAGGGGTTTCTTCATTATGGTACTAAAGGTTTAAGAGAACATGTTGTAGCACCTTGCAAACGCACTAGCAAAATGTCTGCATTCTCCTCTCATGGGACATGCATTGCAATTAGGCTTGCTCTTTGTGCAAAACACCTGAAACAATAATCAAGTAGATTACAAACCTCATCATGTGAGCTGATTTTGTCATACATATATGTGTATTTCTTTAATACATACCTTTCCAAAAGTGATCATCTGGTAGTGCAACTCATACCTGTGAGATAATTGGGGATTAAACTAATGAATGGGTGTATTAGAATGAGGCATGAATAAACATGATCAAAGGTCTTACAATGTTTTTTGGTCGAGTTTGCAGAGACGAGGCCAAAGATACTTTTGAATAGATTCAAGAATAGGATACCTGGATATACCAAACCCCAGTTGTATTAGTAACATATTACAATTTCCAAGTAGGATCATTTTGTAGAGTGCTTACATTTCTAGAAGATGCAACTGAAGTGACTCTGGGAGCGGTTGAAGGGGTACCCATCCAAGTCTAACGGCTATGCGCCCAACATTTGTATCAACCTGTCAATAACTTAAGTTTACGCATATAATTCACTTTTTACAGAGACAAAAACAAAAATTTGATCCTGGCTTACTGGAAAGGCAAGATGGTGCAGTGTTAGAAGCCGCACACACTCCACACTTTTTAGTCCCAAACCATTAAAGCTCAGAAGATATTCTCTGCACGGTTGTGTAATATATGAGAATACACAAGGCAATATTGAATCACTAGAACTGCCTAAGTAGTGATCTTTGTATATTGCGGTTTATAAAGAAGAAATAAAATACTTCGTCTTTCAAACTCACTTTGCTTTATCGGGTGGAACATCTCTCAACCATTCAAGATCGATACTTCCATGGTCATCGACCAGTCGATCAAGGAAGCCCTGCAATATTTTTCATGTTCAGAGTCAAATACTTAAATGAAGGTTATCAAGAAATTTGGCCACATTTAAGGGTAAAATTTTACCTGTATTCGTTCTGCAAGTTTATGATTCATCCCGCGACTCTTGATTGTTTCAGCAACTTCACTAACATCGGCCGCTCGTATTGCCTCCCAGTCCACAGTGTCCATTGTCCTTGCTGTTTTTTCTCTTATTCCTTCTCTACCTTGTGCTTCTCTTCTTAAACTATCCCAGTCAAACGCCTCTTTCTTCTCCTTCAAAACCTTTTTTCCTTTAGCTTTTAAGGTAGCATCATCCGTAGGACTAAGCTCTTTGCACCTTGATTCAGGACCTAGTGGTTTTTCTGTACCTTCTTGGACATCAGGAATACTCGTGCTTTCATTAATATCTGGAATCAAAGTCTCTGTCACGAGCTTTTCTTTGTGTTTTGTCGAGCAAACGCTAGTCGAGCTTTCAGGCATCTCAGGTTTCTGACAACTCAAAACATCCCCATCTTGCTGATAGCAACAACATGGTTCATTACTATCATCAGAAGATTTTGTGGGTCCTTTCAGTGACTGGAAATCCTTAATTTCTGAGCTACAATCACCGGGAGACAAATTTGGTGATACACCAACTTCTTGCCCTGAATTGTCATACTGGTTCTTCTGATTGGATTCTTCTAGTGAGACTTGTACCCCCTGTAGGAGCTTCATATAGGAAGTACGATACTCTCCTTCTAAGTTGATCTCTGAGGTTGAGCTTGATCTTGCTCTCTCTGTATTTTGTTGAGGAGCATCAGAAACCATCGAATGTTGACATGTAAGTGCAGAATCTTCAGATGGAAACAGGTCTAGAACTAGGCCCTTATGATCTGTCTTATCAACTTCTGAGCCTTTTTGATCTGAATCCACGTTCGTCTTTGAATCCGTGGTTTTGCCAACTGATTCATGGGCTGAGCTGGCAATCTCACTACTGCTTCTGGAGGTTTCATTGCTATGTACATACTCCTTCTCCTCATCAGGCTGTGTGTTTTTTAAAATAACAGAACTCTGATTGTGATCGGGTGGGTTTGACATCGATTCTTCTGAGTCCAAGTACGTTATTTGAATAGAAGGCATCAAGCTTGTTCCAACGTCGAAGTTACTGCTGGGTATTGAAGGAGCGGGGAACTCCGCCGCGAGCGACATGAAGGCGGAACTACAAGAAAAAAAAATACAAAGAAAGTTAGTTTTGTGACTTGTTGCTGTCTTGGATTTAGTTTGACATAGAATTATGTAAGAGCTTATACCTTGAAAGATGGTCCGAAACATTTTGAGTGAGAAATACTCCAACAACAGAATCCACAACGGATCCCTTCCAAGGCGTAAAACGTCGATCCCCTGTTACAAAACCGAAGACCATAACATAAGTTATGACTGAGACACACAAGTTATAGATCAAATACTAATTGAAACCATGTGGTTAGAACAAAAACACGGAAAAGGACAAGTGTGGTGTGTAACCTTGTACAAGATGCATCCGTGCTATAAATGAGTCTGCTCTTCCTCGAAACACATTACGTTCTTCCTCCCACCATTTCGCTTTCTGCTCGTCTGATCCGTCAACACCCTCACTATTAATATTCTCCAATAGCAGTTTCCACACTCTGTCTGTCTCATCGTCTAGGTCAACCTTTGGTCGTGGGCGTCGTTTTTTAACAGGAGTTACAGGCACAATTGCTCCAGCGCCACCGCCGAAGAGTATAATCTGGTTTCCTTGGCTTCTCATTGAGTAAGGAATGAGAGCAGTTTCAGAATTCTCCCTGTTGATGTCTAATAGGCGCAACTGCTCACTGATTGTTTCGATTGAGTTAAGTCGTTTCCAAAGTTCATCTGGAGAAAGACCTGCAGGAATCAAACATCATCATTATCAACAAATAATCTGCATCAATAGATTCAAGAAAACAAAGAAATATAGTTGTGTATGTATTCATTACCAGAAAATGAAGCTGGAAACTGGCAAGGATTTGGAAGAAGAGTTTTCTGTTTGGTTTGTGATTTCTCAGACGTAGTGGTTGGCTTCTTTTTGCTCACAGTCACCCGTGTATCAACAAGAATCTTATTATTTTGCTGTGGCTTGCTATAACATCCTGAGGATAACTGCTCAGAAACTTCCACAAGTTTATTCATGGAAGACAAATTCCGGAAACGAGCATGGCCTGTTCTCTTCTTTATCTGCATGTCTATCTTATCCGAGAGAAAACTGAACTCCGACTCTTGCCTTCCTTGAAAGATACCTTCTCGTCTTTCTTCAATGGTTAGGACTCTATTAGCACTGGGCTGAGATGTTGAACTGTAGCACTTAGCGTGAAAGGCAGAAACATCCTTGTGTAGTTGTCCAGTGAATGCTTTGCTGCATATGGCATCAGATCTAATCCCTTCCTGTTGCAAGTTCGGGAAATACAACCAATGCACTTTCTGGTAGTCACATTGCTCATCGTACTGAATCCCTGATAGATTTATGTCCCCACAAGTTGGTTTTCCTTGTCTTCTCTTTGCAGCTTGTGCCATCGAAATATCAACTTCTTCTAGGTTACTGCCATTGTTCTTTGGTTCAATTCCCTTTCTTTTACCCTGGCTGCGCTTTCTCTTTGGCGTGCTAGGCGCGGAAAGAAAGCAATCCTTTAATTCTTGATTCCCAGAATCTAAATGCTTCTCTTTTAGAATTGATTCCATCTCACCTGCTTGTCTAATGTCACTGTTGGACTGGTTTTCTCCGGTTTCGGCTTCGAAATCCAAGACTCGTCTACAAAGCCTCTTAGAACGAGTTGAAGTTTCTACAGCTGCTGATGATTCAACCGGAGTAGACACTTGATCCTTATTGACTTCCACCTTCTTCCGCACATATTTCCTCTTTGGCGTTTTGGTTTCTTGACCCTCAGCAACAACAGACTTCCTCGGAGTTGGTGGTTTAGGCTCCCTCTTGGGTTTAGCTTCTCTAATAACCTTTGGTCTATGCTTCTTCCTCTTTGGTTTTTCAGGAGTCTTGATGATCTGTTCATCAACATTGTTACACGCTGAGCTCAGACTCTCCACTTCTTCATTACCTTTCTGCATCATCTCTGTGTTTCCTACATTTGAGAATCAGATATTTCTCAGTCCAACTTAGATAAAATCAGAATTCGACAAAGCAATATCATTTCTCATGAGACCAGAATCAAAAGCCCTCTTACTTGTAGGTTTTGGAGTCTGACCGGAGAATATGAGTGATGCAGTGTTAGCTAGAGCCAGCAAATCCCCAAAAGACAAGTGATCAAGACCACTCATGTCCTTGTTCCCAACAAATCTCCTGCATGCATCAATACCTTAAGCAATTACCCAACACGATTCTTTGAAATTTCTCAACTTTAAGACAGAAAAAGCACAAACCTTTCCTCCACTTGATTCCGATGAGATTGTTCCTCCACCGTGTATGGGCAGATCGGAGAAATTGGCTTCATGGGTGTCTGAGGAATCCATGGAGGTTGTTGAAAGCTGCTTCCTTCTCTCCCTTGTTTCTCCATTTCTTTGACTCTGACTCTTCACTCTTCCTTAATCATTTGATTTTGCGCCGGAATTTGAAAAAAGATTGAAACTTTCTATTTTTCCACTGCAAAAAGTTCAATAAAAATGTGAAGAGATCACCAATTTTGAAAATTTCACGACTATACAAAAATGATTAGATCCACTTTTTTCTGGGGTTTTAGAGAAAGAGACATCTCCGGAAGTCATTGATTTTTGGTGAGTAGCGACATGAACGATTAATCCGTTCGTTAGGTGAAAGGAGACTTTTTTAGATTCACAACAAAATGTAAAAAAAGTAAGAAAAAAACAAAATTCATAGAAAGAAAATTTACCAGTAGAATCAATGGTTTTGGTTTTGGTGGTGATGAAAGTGATGGAGAGAGTTAGTTCGGTTGAGAGGATAAGATCACCGATGCTTCGTTCTTCTCTTGGAAACGATGAAGTTATGAGTAATATAGAAAAAGCTTTTTTGGCTTAATGTTAAAGAAAAGGATAGAACATGTGTGTTGTTGTGTGTCTTTCTCTAACTTTCATAGCCGTTTGTTTATGTAGCGCCAAAGTTCGTTTGGTTGGCGGGAAAAGTTTCACGGAATTTTATTTAAAAATAATGATTCTTTTCTACAAAGTCTCCTGGACTATAGGAAAGATGATTTGAAAAGTTAATAATATTTTCATCGTCGTCTTCTCTGTCATCTCTTTTTCTTTATTTTTCGTTTTTCTTCTCGTTTACGTAATCATATTCCGAAATTATATGCACTAACTAATTTTATATTTTATATTCAATGAAATTAATAATTTTAATTTTAAGATAAATAATTAGAAGGTTAATTATAAAATTTTCTTATCAAATTATGAATTTTTGTGTGTATGATTTAAACAGTTATGTAATCAATAACATGTTATTTTACTAAATTTTCACGTAATTTCATAAATTTACACATTTTCGTTTAAATATACAAAAGTTAGATGATTCGTTTTAGAACTATAATTTTCCACTAGTATGGGAGGAAGTTATAGGGTGATTATTAGGCTAGTCCCCTTACAATTCTTTTGCTTTTTTGCCAAATGTATTAGTGAAGTATGTAACTAATTAACTCTCTCACACTACAAGAAAATAGTGATTTTGCAACATATTTTTTGTAACGTTCTTTTTCGTTAAAATTCTGCAATAAATTTTGTAATACTTTTGCAATGATAAATACATGTCACAATTTTATTGTAAATTCATTGTAAAATTATGACACATATTTTTGTAGGAAATTTTCGTTACTAATTTGCAATTTTTTTACAACGTGTATAAACTTTCTTGCAAATTTTACGACAAACATCTAACGATAGTGATTCATTGCTTTTTTGCAAGAAAATTATAGTACAAGTATGTGACACATGATTTGTAACTATATTTGCAATAATTTAAGTAAGACTTTTGCAACATTTACTTTATACACAAACTTTGAAAACTACATTATCGAATCTTTGTAGCTCACTTAATAGCAAAACATAATTAAACTATAGGTGATTCAGTTAATTTTTGGGGTCAATGAGCTCAAAGATGTGATAATTGGCATGTTTTTTTCATTGACGTAAAATCTTTGTAAACTCCAGATCTTGGGATATGATTCTCTTAACAATTAGATATTATATCGTTTTATTGTTATATATATATGTATATGCCTTTTTCCATTTTACTTAGAACATAAGATCTTAAAATCTTATGATTAGGTAATGGTATCTTAACAACCTTCTAAGCCATCAAATTCATCAAAGCTAAGATAAAAGCTTGAGTTTCCTACACTACCTAGCAAGCCCAACAAAAAGTTAAGCTTTCGTAGATTAGACTTCTTGGTTAGAATAAGACATAGTTATTGTTAGGTATAAGACACCACCATGAACGGCGGCAAGATACTCAAGAACGGCGTATCCTCCGATCGATGTCAAAACTGATTTGCTTTTTGAACTACTTTCTCCAACACCTTTTCTCATTTTCCGGTAGTTTTAATTGTCAGAATATTGATAATGATTCTTATTAAAAGCTTATAAATTTTGTTGTGTATTGGATGTTGGCGATTTATCCTTTAATTGTTTGGTCGTTTTATTGTTTATATGGCATCGGTGGAGAGAATTTAACTAATGAAAGTGGAAAAAGCTGGAAAAGTGAACCATATGGACATTGGAGATTGTTCAGATGCATTTCTTAGTTCATCATTATTGTGTACCCTCTCTTTCCATAACTAAGGTGACAAAAGCATTATCTACTTTTGAAATTGTATATATTGTATTTTTATTTGATTTAATATAACGTGCATCATTTGATTTAGATTTTGGATGTGTTTATTTATAATATTGCATGAGTTTCCTTTAGTTTAGTGTTAACTCTTTTTTTTAATTAAAAAATTCAGATAAATCATATGACATTTATTCATTTAACATCCAAATTCAGATAGTTGGAGGAGATCTTTCAAAATATTGCAGAAATCAAGGAAGTAATGAACAATCACAAAACTTGAAGTATTGGATATGATGGAGATCATTAGTTTTCTTTTAACTATATATTTCTTTTATTATTTTATTTTGGTTTCTATTTATCTTTTGAGTTTTTAAGTATTTTGGTAATATAATCTGTTGGATGTTGCTGCTAATTTATTTATTTTATTTTATTACTCAAACTTATGCTATTATATTTTTTCAATTACAGAACTTTTATATTGATTTATTATTAGAAATTCATAATAATTCATGTGTGAGATAGAAAATGTAACAAAATTAATGAAAATATATGTCAACCAAGTGATTCACAAAAGAACTGTGACCATACATTGTCATAACGATGCTGAATATTAGTTGAATGTGACAATACTTACGATGAATTTTGTTTTGGTCATCGTAACAAATTAAATTTATGCAACGAAGGTATCTAGCAAATTAGTTATCACAAATTTGCTACGGTTATTTGCTATACGTTTTCCATGGCAATGATTTACGACAATTCAAAGTTGCAAACATACGTTGTAATTTTACGACCAATTTATTACAAAAATTTCGTTGCATTAATACAACATATTTAGCGAGAAATTAATTCATTGCAAATTTTGTAACGTATGTGCGACGAACACGAATTTGCAACGCTCAATCAGCAACGAGATGCAGTTGGTCGTAATTTTGTTGCAATTCTATTATTCGCAACGATATATTGATTTATTGCAATAATTTTCTATGTTGCAAGATCACAATTTTCTTGTAGTGTCATGGTTTAACAGTCCAATGTGAGTAAAATGTAATGCACCATATTTGTGTATATATGTGTGTGAATATGTATGAAACAAAAAAAAAAGCAATTAGTGTGCTAATCTTGATTTCCTGCTATGCAAGAAACCTTCAAAGAGACGTACATGAGAAATGAGTATTGTAAATCATTTATTTCATGAACGTGTTGGAATCTAAGATGATACTTGGAGTTAGTCGGATTGGTTATTACTTATGAGTGACTCAAATGGTGGTCATGACCTAATGATTGGGTATATATAGGTTATAAGCCAACAAATTTGGAATTTGAAACAAAAAAATAATCAATAGCTTTTTTTGTGTGTGGACATATCTATCCTAGAAACCGAGACGAATAATAGTGTATAAAAGTTGGAAACGGATTATTCGAATGTTTAAAAATTAAAACTATTACTGATAATAATACAACTAAATATGGGAAAAAAAATTCGAATTCATATAGCTAAACCTAAGTCAAAAATAATAGAGCTAAACCTAAGTTGAAATTGCAAAGCTAATTAATCCACACTTAGATCCTAAACGCTTAACTTCAGAGTATGTCCCTTTTTAGATTTTACTTGTGGTTATGAAACTTGCTCCGGATATGATTAACGTTTCTTTTAAAAAAAAAGGTTAGAAAAAAATGGGTTCGCCATATGAAGATTATGGCAGAAGAGACTGATCCAAAGTGAATGTCTAATTCGGTTTAATCGATTCAAGGTTATCTTAAACATTTAAACTGATCATATAAATGGATTTAGAAACCAAATCAATTAAAAAAAATAAACTGATTTAGCTGCTGTATTGTAGTATTGACAAAAAGTTTTCGCAATAACCCGTCGTTTGATTTACCCTAAAACATCCGACGTCGGACCCTTAAAAGATGGAGTTCTGTATGACTTCCAAAGATCGAACTCATCCACAAATTTAGAAAAAAACAAGTCCGATGTACGCCAATGAACATGGCCGTCCAATATATTTATAAAATTCGTCTCAAACATAAGAAAAAAAATATTAGTAACGAAAAGAAAACATAAACGAAAAAGTCTGAATTTATCCCTTAAGGTCCTTCCTCTTCAAGCGGTGGCAGGACTGCAGGAGATTCCCGTTTCACGCACTGTGTGAGACGTGTGTGAATGATAGCTCTCTCTCACCATCCACGTCATGTATCAGATTCATTTAACTCTCTTAATTATTCATTCACCATGACCATGCATGAAAAGTGTTTACAGTGACAATAAATTACATTTAATTTCTTTGAGCAAAGCACTTAATTCTTGTCTTATTGTAAACCTCTTGAACGGCACACGTAATACTATGATATTATCAATGCTTTTGTATCAAGTATCAACTTCCATATAAATATTTGGGAAACTCAAAAACCAAAGACACAAAGAGTCAAAGACCATATACTGATTTCATGCAAAGTGAGATAGTGCCAAGTGCCATCTTCCGATCATAAAATTTACAAGTCACAGTGAAGAAGATTACAATAACCACTTAAGTATATACTTTATTTATTAATGGATGCTTTTTTCAACTGTTCTTTTCCCATATCAATGTTGATCTATCTTCTAGATCACACTTTTTATAAGTTTCAACACTTTCGTCTGATTAGAACTGTTCAATGTAGAATGTATAGAAGTCAACTCTTTTGATGAACAAACGAACGAGAAAAGCATATTTTTAATTTGACGAGATGGATGTTTTCTAAAAAACCCAAAATTATAGAAACAAAACAAAAAAAAAAACTCTATAAATTATATTGGTAACACTACATTGTAATAAAAAATAAAAACAAAAATGTAATTATTCATTAAATTTAGAATTATCTATAAATTAAACAATAGGCAAGAAAATAAATTATCTTAAACCTTTACCAAAATAACTTATCTCGATTAATGGTGATAACATAAGTTGTTTATTCCAAACAATTCACTCTTAATAGATAAAGTTACATCTGATAAATCGACTAAAACTAGATAAAGTTACATCTGATAAATCGACTAAAACTAAAATTAGCTACTAATGACACCAACTAGTAACACCCATTTAGGGTAATCCTCATTTATTAAACATAGCTTACTAAACAACCGTAACAGAATTATTGCACTATTAAATCTTCCTTTTAATTTTGGGTTGAGTGATAGAAACCAACCACCAGACACGTTGTTAAGGGAAGATGATGATAACTAATAAAATAAAAATTAGAAAAACGCTAAAATGGAGAAAAGGAACAGATAACGAAGGA